AGAAATATCAGTGTGATAATCTGAAATATCAGCATTAGCGTCACTCAGCACAGACCCTGAAATATCAGCATTACTGTCACCCTGCATGGACCCAGAAATATCAGTGTGATAATCTGAAATATCAGCATTAGCGTCACTCAGCATAGACCCTGAAATATCAGCTTTACCGTCACTCTACACAGACCCCAACATATCAGCATTACTGTTGTTCTGCACAGACCTTGAAGTATTCGCTATTTACATTTCAACTTCCTCAGTTATTTTTTATGGAAGAATTCATATTTTGCTTCATATTTTATGGGCCGATAAAGGAATGTGAGGTTGATGAGGAAATTTTTTAAATATATAATTTCCATGCATGGCACATAATTCATTTTTTATTCATTTTATTTGAAATAGTACATGTAAGGCCTTTTTGGTGATGCACAGGTGTTCAGGACAGGCTCGTTAAGGCTGTCATTCTGCTACAGTAAATGAGGGAGCGTCCCGCTGCACAGCACGCTAATCAGATTTCCTCATTACACCTGACACGATTTACCGCGTGAGAAATGAAATCCAGTAACGGTGTGGATCTCACACGCTCACTGGCTCCATTTGCAGATGGTGTCCTGCCTGGATATGGGGACCTCACTTGTCAACAATGCAACCATGGAAACCACACACTCAAGTGGAAAACTCACTTTCGGCCTGGGTGCGGCCCCAGGTTCAAACCTGTGTATTACAGAGGTGAGGCAGGAATGATGGTTCCTCTGTACTGTAGATAAGCTTCTTGATCATCCTGCCTAAAAAATACCTTGCTGCTTTACTTTAAATATCCTACATCAGGTTGGGACCTTTTCCTACTTTACTTCAGAGACTTTGAATCGAGATGAGCTTCGGCGGAATCAGAGAGCTGAGCCGTGCAGCGAATTATACTGACGTCTGGTTGGTAATCTACAGCAGACTCCACTCACTGTGGGCCATCTTCGCCCTCTAGCACAATTTCAGCATTTATTATTACATACAAAGAAACTACACTGAGCAATATACGTGTTGCTTTTAATGAAAACCTGTGGCTGACTGATTAAGCAAAGGAATGTGGGCCATTCTATTACTCAGATACAGGATGTTCAAACAAGGTCAAAGCCATATTAGATAAATTAATTTATTCACTCATTAGGCTCCACATACAGTATCCTTTCTTCAAGGTTGATCCACTAAAAACATGTCTTTCTATAACTATTTTATCTCTATATCTTGTAGATCAAGAGAACTTTTTTTTAGCAACTACTGTGGTCTGTTATTGATAAATCATCTTCCATGTGTATTTCTTAAAGAATTCTTTGCCATTTTATGGTCATGAAACATAACATTACAGAATTCAATAATCCTCCCAAGTGCACTCACTCATTCACCCAGGAAATTCTCATTCAAACACTCATTCATTTATTCACTCACTCACCATCATCCTTTCACTCACTCAGTCAATCACCTACCCACTCACTCACCTATTCACTCACTCACTCACTCACTCACTCACTCACCTATTCACTCACTCACTCACTCACTCACCTATTCACTCACCCAGTCACCCCATCACCCCTACACATCCCTACTCACTGCCCAAGCTGTGATCCCCTCTGCTGCGACCAGCTGGCTCTTCAGCCTCCAGGCAGCCCGATCATTCTGATAAGGGCCAGCTGGTCGTCATTAATCAGCAGCGATTGGCACAGGCCCACCGGTCGATTATGTGGCGGCTAAGCTCTGTGCCGCCGGCTCAGGGCCCCACAAATGTAGTGATTTATGCCTTGTTGATCCGCCCTTTTGGTGGGATCACCTGTTTCTGAACATTTTTTCCAAGGACTTTTTAAGGACCTGCTGGGTGCACATTTGTTACATGTTTGTTAATGACCTGATAACTCCAGTCTCCATAAGGATGTGCCGATTTCTTCCTGCAGTCCAAAGACATGAAGTTTCTGAATTGCCTGTAGTGGGTGAGTTAGTCTGTGTGTGTGTGTATGTGTGTATATTGATTATGTTTATATTACATTGTGGGGACCAAATGTTCCACACAATGTGATAAAAACCTGTTATTTGAATGTTGTGGGGACTATTTTACAGGTCCCCACAAAGATCGGTGAATGCAATCAAAAAACTAAAAATACCGAAAGTCTCGTATTTCGTTTGGATACTTATAGTTAGGGTTAGAGCTGGGTAGGGGTTAAGGTCACCATGTTGGGATTAGAGTTTTCCCCAAAGAAATCAATGGAAAGTCCCCACAAAGATATAATTACAAATGTGTGTGTGTGATGTATGTGTGGTGTTATGTGTGGTGTGAGTGATGTGTGTGTGAGTGCTGGCATCTGAGTCACAGTGGCCCCTAAACTCATGCCCTATGGCTCACGGGGACCCTGTATGGGATAATGAGCGGTGTAAACAAATTCATATATGTATATCACAACCCTTCCATTGTTATCAGCCTTTGTTTGCTGTGTATCTTCATCAAAGGAAAGAGTGTTTTCGATGTGGGTTTCAGGATTCCTCACTCGCTCGATGATGGTTACAGGATTATTCAAGGCTGTGCTGTATGTCACTATACCTCAGGGACTAATTGAGTTTTGATATTTCAAAGGCGCTCGAAGTTTCGCAGGTATAATCCTTCGCTGAGAATCTATCTGGCTGTTCCCCTTTCATTCTTACCTATTCACAGTTTCAACCTTGCACCAGTCTTTAACTCCCAAGCACATTTACTAACATGCTGATGGTATTGGCAATGGGTTTGTCATTTGCATGATCAGAGTTTGTAATCAGCTTCACCTTACAGCAGTGTTTCTCAGTCCCTGAGTCCCTCAGACAGTCGACATTTTGCAGGAGCTGGGAGGGAACATAGAGATAGACGGTCTGGGGGGTCCCCGAGGAGCGGGTTGAGAAATGCTGCCTTACAGGTTAGTAGTAGACTGGCCCTCCTTTTTTGGGTGAGCCACCAATTTCAGGTGGCTAATTTGAAACCGAAGGGAGTTTGAACTGTATCATTTGCATACTCTGGGATTGATTAAAATGGGAAGATTGATTTTTTTTTTTTTGTCATGGAAAATGGTTTGCTCATAAGTCCATCTTGTTCTTAATTGGATTATAAATTAAGCACTTTGTTTCCATTTTTAGGTCCACCATATATTCTTGGTTTATACTGTATGATTTTTTCCCCTATAGCTGTAAAGTGGCACTTATCCTGTGATATTAACTATTAAAAGCCCTGTGCTTAATTTCACGGTGAAGGAGTTTCCATAGAATTACCAAGGAAGTTCTTCTGAGAACAGGCAGTCCCCACGTTATGAACAAGTTCTGTTCCCTAAGTCTGTCTTTAAGCCGAATCTGTAGGAAAATCAGAACAATAATAATGCAGACCATAATAATATTAACAATTATTCTGTGATAATATAAGTAACTATACACATCAAGTTAATGAACCGCTGAAGCCACGCAATGTTATAGTAAGCATCACAAAGTAGTGCATGTGTCTAATGAAGTAAAGAATGTGTTTGGTGGCTGTGGGCCTTCTTAACCTGGGGACTACCTGTAATCCAGTTCAGTACAGGAGGGGCAGAGTTTTTGGGCCAGAAGAAGTCTCAGTTCCACTTGTTCTATACTTAAGTGATGCTGATGGCCATGTTGTCGCTGCAGGCTGGAAGCCTTCCTGTGAAGCTCCATAAGTGCCAGTTCTCCTAGGTGAGTAGGAAGCCAATGTTCAAAGACAAACCAGATTGCATGTCGCTTCTTAGTAATGTGCAGTCCGGCCGAGGTTTCAGATTTTAGTAACGATATTCCTTGGGGAAAGACCATCGCAGATTCTAGTGCAGAAAAAAGAAAACGGTCACGACTTAAACTTGTGACGTGAAATGGAACAGGATGTGATCTGAGACAGACAGGGCATGTGTATCGGCGAGGCCATGTAAAAAGAGTAATTGGAACAGAGGGGATTAGGTCCTGCACCCCCAGAGACGAACAGGGAGGAAGACCTGTGTGATGTCATTCATCTCAGGGTGTGAGGGCCTCTTCACCCCATGAAACAGGTGGGCTTCACATACAAATGAACCACTGTATGACATTAGCTATGATCACGTAATAAATTAAAGAATGCTGCATCAGGCTATAAAAAGCATTTTTGTTTCCAATTTCTTACTGAACCTTTTTTTAATGTAATTATTTGTTCCCTACCTTTTCAAAATGACATCTATAAGACAGTTCATGTCATACTTCTTCTGACTCATTAATTTTTTAGACAAATTATAACGGAAATACAAACAAAATTACCTTCAGGCCGCAATGCCTGTACATGATGAGTGTCATGACCCAGTCATTCCAAACCTCCCGTGTGTCATGCCCCCTCGTCTACCTCGTGTAGAATCCCCATGTTCCCAGCTGTTCCCAGTCCGTGTCATAATTTCCTTAGTCCAGTCATTGACGTTGTTTTGTGTTCCCGAGTGTTTCTGTTCCGAATAAACCCCATGTTCACCCCATTTCCCCAGCTCCTGTGCTGCTTCCCCGCTCCATGCCTGCGGGCAGCAAGACAATGAGTTAACAGTAACACATTACTTAAGGCCATGTTTTTACTAATTTATCAACAGATACATAATGCATTATAATACGTTCATAAAGCATTATAAACATGGCTATAATTATTTATAAAAAGGCATACCACATTATAGTCATGTTTATTATGCATTATGAAGCTCACATCTATCATGCACTATAGATACATTTATAATGCATTATAATGGTAATGCTTTGTACTGCACTATAAAGTTGTATTTAGTGCATTGCAGATGTGAGTGTCATAAAGCATTCATAATGCATAATAAACATGGCTATAATGTGTTATGCCTTTTGATAAATATTTATAGCCATGTTTATAATGCTTTATGAATGCATTGTTATTTGTTATGAGTGTGTTTATAAATTACTAAAAACATGGCTTTAAGTGTTATCGAGTTAATGTCTAACATTACTCCAGTACATGTTTATTTTTATTATTCCTAGAATATTAATAACCAGTAATAACCAGTCATGGCTTTAAATAAAATTGTTCATAATGTAAATAAATGTCTGCAGATGCTGTCCTTTTCAGGTCTGAGCTTTGACAATATGACACAATGAAGGGCACTATAAGGGGGGAAAAAATACAAGTTATTTTTTAAAGACTTCTCAACCTTTTCCTGGCCCAAACAAAACAGGACGGCGGAGCTGTTTTATCATTTCTTGAACTTCACTTGAAATTCTGTGCCGAAGGAAAGTACAAAGGAAATGCAAAGCAGTCAGTGCGAATAAGCTGCAATCGACCAGCTCTAGTTGCAGGCGGGCGGCCTTCAAATTAAGGCTGCAAAGCAGTGAAGTCAAATTGGAATTCAAATTCTATTAAGCAACCTTGCCAGCAGCGAAAAAACTCAAGATGGGTCCCAAGCAAAGGAAAGGGGACTGTAACAGGAGACATATATTAGAGTCGCCCTGATCTATTTCCTGCAGATACACTCAGCGTATGTCTGTAAGCTCCGGCCGCTCAGGAACTCGCTAATACAGCTGTTGCTTTGCCAGTTGATTAAATAACAAATTGACGTTAACCAGCCAGTGACACGTACCGGTGCAATGGCACCTCATTTGTTTATTATCTGTGGCACACAAGGTGTCTCATCGCACAGGACTGACATTACACTCGCACATGAAATGATGAGGTCATTTACGATTTAAGAGTCGTTATGCTTTGCTCACATCTCAGCTTTCACTGCTAAACATGCAATTTGTGGATATTAATTCACTGCCGATTTTTATTACAGCTCTGAATACACATCACATGTTGTCATGCTCACACCCAGCTCACGTCCAGGACTGCACAGTTAAATTTGAACTGCGTATTAATAAGTTCACAACAGATGGCTACAATACATGCATGTTGTTTTACGGACCTTACAGTGGATATACGATTAAAAATCTGACAAAAGCAAAGCCTCGTATTGTACAGTATGACCCTGCTCTTATGATGCTGAGAACAGATCAAGGAGGTCACAGTGTATCTAAAGCCAGAGAAACGATCTTTTAGCTGCAAAGAATCTGTCCTTGTTGGGCATTAATTGGCGAGGAGCTGGTAAAGCACAGGGTTATTTTGCAGATCTTTCCAGTGTTGACGTTATGTAGCCTACGGCTGTGTCAAGTATCTCAGTAGGTTCAAGCCTCTATCCCAAGGCTATCATGGTACTGCCAATGCATTCAACCTCCGAAAGTCCTGAGCTTCCCTTTGACACAAGGAAACAATCAGAACAGGAACCCATGCTGTTCTAGGGGTCTCACTGAGCTACCGCAGTGTTTGCATGATGGCTTGTGCTGCATCACTGATGGTCTCCCACTATGTGAAGGTCATGGTTGGCCAGCTCAGTGCATGCCACTCAGTCGTTCCAGCCCAATAAATACCGTGAGGCTCCTCCATAGAATCATCACCGCAAGGAGAAGACAATCAGAGCCGGCTAATATGCAGACTATGATACAATATGTGTCATTCTACTATAGTATCCAGGCAAGGTGCTGTCATTAATCGGGATGTGCCGTGCAGTCATGTGACCTGTGTGAAGCAGATCAGATGTAATACATAGATGGTGGTCGTTTACAGTCTTCCTCATT